CTCGGTGGCCTTGTGGGGAATCCGGGCCCGTGCACAACTCTCCATTTTGCCGGGAGATTTCTGCAGCGATTGGTCTTCTGCACATGGAGATGTTACTTATAGAGCACACTTCAATGAAAACTGAAACAGAGGACTTGAAATGCATACCAGGATCACCGGCTACATGTCCAGCAACCTTTGTTTTTTTGTTTAATCCAGAGACTATTGGGGGTAAAAGGAGCAAAAATGGCTTCTTGTCAGTAACCTGCGCTTGGAACACTTATTGCTGAGGCACTGGACCGCCAACCCTTGGGCTCCCAGTTCTACTCACCTGTTCCTCTTCTCTTGCAGTGAGGGAGGAAGCACATTCATCCAGGAGCAGAAACTTCCGGCAAACTAGCTGCACTAAGTTAACAATTTGGAAGAAAGAGAACCTGTCAGGAGAACTATTACCACAGCCTATCCTAGTGGTGGCTAACCTTGGCACTCCAGCTGCTTTGGAACTACAAGTCCCATGAGGCATTGCAAGGCTCTCACAGCCACAAACATAACTCCCAGAGGCAGATGCATGTTGGGATTTGTAGTTTTGGCACAGCTGGAGTGCCAAGGTTCGCCACCACTGGCCTATCCAGTCCTGGAGGTCAACGCTGCCATCTCCAAAAGTGGTGCTTGTTTGGGGTAGGACGCCCCTCTGCAGCACTGCATACTGTGACATGTTAGCTATAGAAATTGTGGTGGTTTTGGGCTATGACACCCCTCTGAAGTTCTGCATACTGCGACATGCCAGCTCAGACTCCAAGACTGATCCAACCCAAGACAAATCATCTCTTAAAGATAGGTTCTAGCCAAATTGTAAATCATATAGGTCGTGCAGGCGCTTTCATTTTCATTCCAGCAATGCTTGAGCACACCAGGCCCCCACACTGTGAATTTCTCCGAACCCCAAATCCTAAGTATGCATTTCTGCAAATCACTGATCCCCCAACTCCGCCCATCAGATTGCCCTGCACACTAATTATGCATAGCCTGGACCAATCAGAAAGAAAAATATGTCATGCACCTGCTCCACCCTCATTGAGGTTTCCTGGAAACATGCCATGTGAAGAGATGAAGGACCCAAGGAGGCTTCAAAGCAATTCATGACTGTAAAGAGGCTGCAGTCTCCAGAAGAGGCATTGGTTCTAGAGCAGCCTTGCTCAATCAGTGTGACTTGTGCCTTCGTCAGGGGTGACTCAAAGTTAATTGTGTTTTTGCCTGGGGTTCCCCCCATAAAAACCATAACAGACCTCTATCTGGGAATAAGGATTTTGGAGGGGCCACGAGTCATTGTTGCTTTTACATTTTAGACTGGAGCGTCTCAAGATTTTGCCAATTTTTAAAGGGTGCTGTGACTGAAAAAAAAAAGGTTGAGAAATGGTGGTCCAGATGTCTTCTGTAATGCTGGGTTTAGGGAAAAACCCAAGCCAAATACTGTGTCCTATCTGAGGAACATTTCCTCACTTCCTGTCTGCTTTAAAAACTGTTCAAGTTCAAAGCCAAAACTTATTTTTTCTATTGTGATAGAGGGAATGCTTATTTTTAGGTTTCCTCTCAATTTATGTTCTGGTGAGAACTCTAAATGTTGGATATTTCCATCTCCAGTCCTGGTGAGAATGGCCATTGGGACAACCAAAAGGTGGCAAGTCCTTCCAATGATTGCTCAGACACCAACTAAATCCTGACAGAAGTTCTAATTCCACTCCATCCGAAACAACAGTTTTGGGTATACCCTCACCCTAGTTCAACTCTTCAAAGCCTCCCATTCACCCCCCTCCGGCCTTCTTTTACCGCAACCAGCTGACAATGCCATCCTTCGGAGCTTATCAAATAAAGTCACAATTATGACACGGAGCCGGCATGGCTCCAGAGAATGCAATAAGTGCATTTTTATCTTTGAAATGATAAAATTTGCCTCACAACGGCACATCGTCTGCGTGTACCCTCAGGATCCACCACACACACAAAAAAAAAAATTACTTTTATCTTTC